TGCTAAGTACTTTCACATACGTTACCTGAAGCTAAACAACCCACCTCTCCACTGGGGATCGAAGGAACACCCTGCCCACATTTCTTAAAGAAAACCATACTAGTGGCGTCGGCTTACCACCACCTGCTGGTGGTAATTCCAGTAATGCGGATTGAACACAGGAACCCAGGGTCTTTGCACTCAGCTACATCCCCAGCCCTTTTTATTTTTTTTATTTTGAGACAGGGTCTTGCCAAGTCACTCAATTGCCCAGGATGAGTTTGAATTGATGATTTTCCTACCTTAGCCTCCAGAATTCTGAGATTACAGTTGTGTGCTCCCATGCCCAGCAGTCCTTGTCTTTCTCTTTTTCCATCTTGCCTGGTTCTGCTTCATCAAAGAGCATCCACCCTGGGCAGACTTGAATCTTTGATGGTTTTTTATTTTTATTCTATTATTCATTTAACAGACGTTTACTGAGTAACAAACACAGCAATTAGGAGTGTCATTCTACAAACTAGATCTGTAATAAAAGTAATAAATTCTTCACTTTTCAATAATTCAACTTTTGTATTTCAAGCTCCCTTCTGATGGAGTGGCAAAAACTTAGGGTCAGACAGTGTTAACGTTTATTACCTGGATGTCCCCACAAAGCCTCATGCTCTCATAGGTGAGGTTTGGGAAAGGTGATTGGATCATGGGGCTTGCCTAATCCACTGATGCGTTTATAGCTAAATGTGATGTTGGGAAGTTGAAGCCTGGTTAGAGCAGGTGGGTACGTGGGTGCGTGGCCTGTATCTATCACTTCCTCCTTTCATCTCTTCCTGCTTCCTGCTGCCATGCCTTGAGCTCATTCTCCTCTGCAGTGCCTCTCTGGCATGTTGTCCTGCCTTTGGGCCAGCCAACTATGGACTGAAATCTCTAAAACTGTGAGCCAAAATAAACCTTTCCTCCTGTAAGTTGTGGGTGTTGGGCTTTGTGTCCCAGTGACAAGAAAGTAGCTAAGATACAATTTTCCCCCATCTCCTTTCCCTGAGGTTTTCTCTAAGTCCCCAGCCAGGTTGGGTGGGTTGTATAAAGTGGAGAGGTTGAGGAGCTATGTGCCTGGTTGCCACTGAAATGTGCCTGACTCCTGTCTGGATGGCCCCTTCAGGGAATGGAATAAGGGGAGCACGGTGCACTCTCTTGCTTTTTCTAATCCATTTTCTCTTAAGTCAGAAGTCCACATCAATGTTTTGAGGGCATGGGTTTTTGAAATACAAAAATCAAGTAAACAGTCACAGGCCTTTGTGATTTCGCAGGTGCATGGTCCTGCCATCTATCTACTTATACAAAGAAAAGGTAAAATGGAAAAACTGGGTAAGGAAGTAGAGAATACACAGGCATTAAGTCTTGAGTTGAGGGAAAATGTGAAATAGAAATGAACCCTAATTTTAAGGGACTTGGTACAATGAAATAGACATGTATAACATTATGCTGCAAAATACAAAGGTAAACATTCTGTGAAAGAAATTCTAGAGATCCTCTGAGGAACTCATTCATTAGAAAGGTGTGAGTTAAAGAGAATCATTTTATTCCTGTCTGCTTAATGAAATAGAGTACATTATAATCACAGAAAGTAAATTCTAAACTTCTGGAGGTTGAGTATGTCCTCCGTGTGTCACTGGGATGGTGAATCCTGATGCAGTAGCCCCTCACTCTTCGGTTCTTTATACCTTTGATGAAAGAATTCAGTTACAACACATAGGCAGCCATTCACAAGTATAGGCAGAATTTATTAAAAAGTAGAGCTATAGAGAGTTATGCCTACTGGAGAGAAGATGGGCAGTGCCACAAAGGCATCAGCTTGAATGGTGAGTTTGGGGATCTTTTTATGCACACGGAAGTTACTCCTGGGGTTCAGTGATCTGTGATGATTATCATTGTTTCTCTGACATTCACACAATGAATGTGATTAGCAACATTTTTTCTTTGGGTTTACTTTGGAATGTGGACATCTCAAAAACATCTTCCTTATTCCTCTCAGGTGGTCATTACTCCTTCAAGTTCCTTAATAAAGTAAGAATCTAAATCAAGCCTCAGACCAATGAGGAAGGATCATTAAAGAATGCCCCCTTTTCTGATATCATTGGGTGTAAGCAGTGGCATCCAGGAATACTGCATGCCTTATTTTGGAAATAAACAGTCAGGTGGCCAAGATATCAGAGGGACTGTACACAATGTGTAACCTTAAGATGTCATTGTGCTCTGGGGACTGCTTTAGGTCTGAGACCTAACAAAGTATTATAAATGTATTATACATTTAAGTCTTTGTTTCTTTACTTAACTATAAGTGTTAAGACATGCTATTTTAGATTGCCCCATTTGCCCTTTAGGCCTATTAATGTCTGTCTGTTTAACTCTTGCAAAAAATCCATTGTTGTAATTCATATCATGGTTAGCTATAAGTGCTTTTCCCAAACATTAGAATTAAAAATTATCAGCCTGAAAATATTCCTCAGTAAAGCTTTATTTGTTTCTGTTTTCCCAGCTTGTTTTAAGCAGCGATGTCTTCTCATTGCTCTGCTTGTTAACAAACAAGATATGGAAGCCAACATGGGGAATTGTGCCATAAGGAAGTATGGTACCAAGAATAATTCAAAACATATGTAAAGTGAAATAACATTAATAGATAGACTGGGCACTATGTGGTCATTGTTAAGCTCTTAAAGATTCAGATCCTTTAAACATGAAAGTAAGCACTCTGTGTGGTAACCATTCGCCAAAATGGTCCCGAATGATCCTTTCTTCTGACATTTATACCCTTTGGTAGTCCCCTCTCACAGTAGAGGATATTGTGGAAATGAGGTATGTGACTTCCTAGATCATAAAACTGTATACCTTCCACTTTTGGTATCTCTTTGGTAACTTAACCTTGGGAAAATCTAACTGCCTTGTCATGAAGATCATCAAATGGCCCAGTGAAGGAGTTAGCATGGTGAACAACAATGCCCTCCTGCCAGCTGAGCTGGTCCCCCTTTATGTTAGTGAGCCATCTTGGAAGGGGATCTTTGGATCTCACTCAAGATTCAAAATGACTGCAGCTCTGGCTGAAGTATTGTGAAAATTTCTGAGTGACTCCTAAGCTAGAAACAGCCAAGTAAGCCAGTTTTAAACTCGCTGCTATTGAAATTATATGTGCTAATATGTTGATTGCTTTATTTTTTTGTTCATTAGTTTATTTTTGAGGAAAGTTCTCACAAGGTAGTCTAGGCTTGCCTTGAACTCTCAATCCTTCTGCCTCAACCTCCCAATTACTGGTATTACAGACCTGTGCCACCATGCCCAACTTAGTGTTGTTTTAAATTGCTAAGTTTTGGAGTAATTTGTTATGTAGCAATAAATAATTATACTATAAATGAATAATTAATATCTTCAAAATTTGACATTATCACAAATTACTTTACAGAACAGTTGTGTACATCTACTTTAATCAGCAGTCAAAAAATAGGCAACTTGCCATATCCATACCAAATATAAGGCATTGCTATTTAAAACTTAGTCTTTTAAAGATTATTTAATCTTTTTATAGGCAAATATATATATATATATATATATATATATATATCTTTTTGATACAGAGTTTCGCTATGCAGTTCAGGCTTGCCTTGAGCTCACTTTGTATCCCAGGCTGGCCTCAAACTCTCAACAATCCTCCTGTCTCAGCCTCCCAAGTGCTGGGATTACAGGTGTGCACCACCACACGCAGCCAAAAAATGTATTTTGGTACAATTTTCAGTTTTCATTGCTAGCAGAGTATACTTTCTTCATAATTTTGATAGATATTATTTTCTTGCAAGTTCACCCTGTATATTTCCTTTTTCCCTTTAATTTCCCTCATTCCTCCTTTCTTCTTTGATCCTTTCCATTCCACTGGCTGCTAAAGGCCAGAAAATACCAAAAACTTGAAATACAGTCTCTGAATGAAAAGAATTGTTTCTACTCTCTAATCCATCCCCTGCCAAAACCATCATCCTCCCCATCCAGTCCATGGAAAATTTCTCTTCCACAAAGCTGGCCCCTGGTCCCAAAAAGGTTAGGGACCATTGTTATAATAGAATACATTTCTTTCTAACATAGTAAATATTTCAAAGTTTTTGTTCCCTTCTGCTGTACCCTCAGGTGGATAAATTCATCAGTGACCTTTCACAATATTTCCCGTCTTTTAAATTCACACATTCCCTTTGGTGACAGCAGCAATTTTGGCCATTTTCTCTGTAAGTTGAGAATTCAAGCTCTGGTTCAGAGTCATTTCAGTTGACAGTATTTCAGTTCTGAGCTTCACTGCTTACTGTCCATGCGACCATAACCCAATTAATGAAACTCTCCTGGGCCTCACTTCCCTGGATAATTTTTCTTTTTGAGAAGGATCTCTCTATACAGTCCATGTTGGCTTTGAATTCATTATGAAGCCTAGGCTGGACTCAAAGTTGCAGCAATCCTGCTTCAGCCTCCTGATTGATGGCCTTGCACTGTGCTTGGCTTCCTTGGCTGATTGTAAGACGGGATTTAATATTAGTAATGGTTAGATAAGTAACAAAAGTAGGTTATTTTATACTGTAG